AATGCTCCTGGCTCACAGGCCATGTCTATCTGTCTATCTGCCCATCACCAGGGCTCGGGCTGCCTCTTTTCCAACAACCTGCAAGGGAGAGCTTAGGTCAGAGGTGAGCACATAGGGCCAGGCTGTAGTACAGGCTGAAATTTGCTGTTTGACACAGGTTTGCTTGTTTGACAAGCGCCCTGAATTGCATGTGTTCCTGGCAGGACTGGGTCGCTGCCAAACTCAGGCTTAGAGGTAAGATGGGGTGCTGGGCCATCACACCAAGGAATAAATTAGATGCCTCACTGGGCATATTTGTGATGTGAAGCAAAAAGAAGAACTGGAAATTTATCCTTCATCTGTCTTCCTGACTCATCACTGGAAGACTCTCAGTAAGGTCTGGACAACTGGGAGAAACATGGGCTACTGGTTCTCCAGTCTGACGTTCATTTCCTCCTCCCCAGAGGGGCTTGGTTAGCATGTGGGCTCTGCTGAGAAGCTCAGAGGTGTTGGCTATTCAAGCCATACACCTGGCATCCTACTACCCATTACGGGCAAAACTAGGGCAGAGACCATGTTGCTTGTAGGGAATGAGTCTGCATGAGGGACACCAGAGCTTGGGACACCCTGCCCAGCATGCTCCCAGTTCAATGGCACTGGGAGCTGAATGATCTGAGAGCAGGTTATGAGTTGGGGCTGAGAAGGTCTCTTTCCTATTGCTCTTGGCACCTCCTGCTTTGGCCGAGAGGTGCCAGGTTTGTTCCAAGCCATTGGCAGTAAGGTTTGATGGCCTTAAGGAGGACAAGTGTCCTGAGATGGGCAGTGGTGGTTGCCAGATGTTCCCACCAGCAGTCCCATATCTAACAGCTCTGTGCCCACAGCTGTTTCAGGAGGATGGACTGGGTAATCACTCCTGATCCCCAGAAGGCTGGGCTGCAATTTGAGCCAGGGGTCGCAAAGGCCATGCCAGTATCACCCTCCATTAAACTCTCAAGCTCCCTTCTTGAGGCTGCTGGTCAAAGCAATGTCTTGATCATGAGGTCTTTGGGGACATCAGCATCTGCTGTGAGCCAGAGCAAACACATACAGGGTGAGGAGACACCACCAGTCAGAGGGGAAGTTGTTGCTATTGCTGCTAGAGGTCTTCCAGCTGAATTATCTTGATTAGCAAAGTGAGGGGGAGCATGAGCATCACTAACCGGTGGAGATAAATCTGATCTCCCTCACTCAGAAAAGCTTCAGAGATCCTCTTAACAGCAGGCACTGCTCACTCTTGGGGTAAAGCAGCAACTCCTGTATTTACAGGGAACCCAGCAACCACATCAGGCCACTGCCTGCTCTTGTTACTGCTTGGAGGCCATTCTGCCCCTCCACTGGTGCGGCAGTGGAAAGTGTTGTAAGGTGCTTTACCATAGCTGTTCCTGGAACAGACACTTGAGACAGGTTAATTTTCATGACCAAGGTGAATAGCCTCAACTGAAAATTCTTTGTGGGATGCAAACTGCAGTGAAGGTTACAGTCATAGTTACTGTTCATCTCACCCTGCAGGGCACGGAGATGGCACTTCAGGGGAACTCCTACTTTCAGTTTTATTACAATTCCCTTCTTCTGGTCAATTCTCAAAGTGTTTGCTCCTCCCTCTGGCAGCCTGGGTGTGATAGGTGCAGGGTAGCTCACTTCTGGGAGTGAAGGGAGGTGAAGGGAAACCAAGGATCTGTTGTATGGGCTGGGCTTTGCCATTCAGAACCAGCCCCTCCCTCTTTCCCTCTGTGTTTACTGCTCTCTCAAGGCATCCTTGTTGAGGGTCAAGCTCTTCTGGGCATCCATTGGCAACAAGTGCTCAGTGAAGTGCTAAGAGGCTTTTGCTGCACTGCAACATGAAGACAGCTTCCCATGGCAGCGTCCGCCTGGTAGCTGCCCAGGAGCACCCTTGTCAAACTCCAGAGTGATCAGAGATGTTTGTGCACCAGCTCATCTGGGAGGTCCAGAGCAATGGCTAACCAGGAGTCACACTACTTTCCTCCTTGCCCGACAGCAGAAATCACCATCTGCCATTGCCGTGGCTTTTGATCCCCAGGCCAACTTAAATGCTAGGTGAGTTATAAAATAAAATACAGCAGGTGACAAGCCTCTCCCACCCCTCTTGTGGGTAGCTACAATACATGATCAAGTTGGTTTCCCATCTGAACAGCTATTTGATGTTATCATCGGTATTGCTTCTCCCTTTTAAGGAGACTTTCCTCACTTTGAGCATCTCCATATTTTAGACTTGGAGAAAGAAATCTGGCATGAAATAATTCAAATTATGTCTTTACAGTTACCATACTCTGCTGGGTTGAAAGGGAAGCTGTTTGGACATTGATCAAGTTCATGTTTATGCCTCTTCATTGCAATTATGCATTTCTTGAATTTAAGAGCAGTTTCTACTCCAAACACCTACATGGCAGTACTGGGGAGCTATCAGTTGGCTTTCGAGTCACCTTTTCATGTGAGCAGTGGTGGTGGTGACAGCAAAAGTACCTGCTCTGGTTTCTTATGTCAGAAAATGCCACCCTGAGGCACTTCTGTTTTCTTGGATAACCTACTTTAGCCAATTTCCAGCAAAGATGGCAGGTTCCCTGCAATGCCAAACAAGCCAGTGTCTAAGGAACTGTTTTGGTTGGAAGCCATCATATGAAGCAAAACTGGTTCAAGTTGCTCTGAATCCAAGTTACTGGAGTGTATAAATGTGAGCAATTACTAAAAACACAAGTTTGTGATCATTGTTTTTGTCCGATGTTTCAGTCTGGTTTCTGTTTAAAGCATTAAAATGAGGAGAGGAGGCACCAGAGGCAGTGGGATCGGAGCTACAGGCCTCTCCCTGGAGTGGGTCAGGCCATCCACCTTAATCTCTCCTGGCCCCTGTATTAAAGCACCATTAGAGCTGCGAGGCTCAGCAGTGGGTTGAATCATTTCCTGAGCTTTGTTTGTAATTCCTCATGCTCAAAAGGGACTGGGGTGGTGGTGGGATGGGAAATAAAGCTAATGAGGAAATGTTTTCTTCCAAAATAAGGGCTTTGCATGGCTCGGAAAGGTGCAGAGCAGCTGTTTCCAACTTCTTCTAAAGGACAAGCCATTGGCCAGGGCTGGTAGGTATCAGCTTGGAGAAACATCTGTCCCACATAAGTTTTCTGATGATACTCAGATAAATGTAGCCATTTTATCAGTGTGCTCAATTTCCCCACAAACCAGAAAGCAAATTACTAGGAATATACTACTCATAACCACATGCTAACTCTCATATGAGAAAAAGATGCCTATAAATGCATCATTCTGAAGAGTAAGTGGAGAGCAGAATTACTTCCAGTGGAAGCAACACAGTGTGCAGCATGTTGCGATCAGTGAGCAGCTGGGGGTGAAAGGCTCGAGGAGAACTGGAAAGGAGGGTGTAGAGAGGGGGGATTAGTCTCTTTAACCAAGGAGTCAGCGCCAGGGCCAGAGGGAATGGCCTCAAGCTGCCCAGGGCAGGGTCAGGCTGGCTCTGAGGAAGGATTTCTGTGCAGAAGGGGTTGCTGGGTGTTGGAATGGGCTGCCCAGGGCAGGGGGGAGTCCCCGGGATCCCCGGAGGGGTTGGAGAGTCGGGCTGAGCCAGCGCTGAGGGGTCTGGGGGAGTTGGGAACAGTCAGGGTGAGGTTCATGGTTGGGCTGGAGGAGCTTCAAGGGCTTTTCCAACCAGGATGATTCTGTGATTCTGTGACTGCACTGCAGGGCCAGGGGACTGAAATCCTGGACCTTTCCAAACCAGGGTGAGAGGAGTGGGAAGGGGGAGTGGGTGTGTGCCTGCAGTGGGGTCTGGGCTGAGCACTCCCCAGCTGAGTCACGTGGGGTGAGCACGCTCAGGGAGGACGGGAATCCTGCCCTGAATATGAAGCATGAAATCCAGGTCCAAAAAAAAATTCAGATAGTGCATTACATAAGTGTTCAGTGGGTTTTCTAACCAGGAATCTAGTGTTGAGAGCATTAAATAAAACATTCGGTGTCTTAGAATGCTGGATAAGAAAGCCTGGGAAATGAGAAATGCGGGGATAGATAGCATTGCTTATAGTTTCATTTTTTCCCAGTTTTGAACGCCTAAGAACAAGTGTATGCGGTGCTTAGAGGGAGACACAGTGTGGCCAGACTCGGCATTTGCAACGCCTGCTTGCGATTGCTGCCTGCTCCTTTTACACGGATTTCTCCACCCAGCCTCTCAACGGTAACTCCACTTCTCGGCCTGCAGGCAGAACGCTGCCACCCCCTCGCCGGGCTGCAGCCCCCGGCTCCATCCTGCGCCCCAGGAGCAGCGCGGCGCAGCGGGGTCCTGTCCTCTGCTGCTGCGAGGGGCTGGCAGCCCCCAGCTTGGCCTTCAGCCTCAGTGCTGACCCAAAGCAGGGCTCTGCCCCAGCTTCTCCTGCCTGCCCGCGGTCCCGAGGGCTTGGCCAGGCTCCGGGACCACGGGGCTTGTGACAGCGGGAAGCAGGACCAAGCCACGCTGGAACGGAGTTGGACAACTCCTTACCTTGAAGGATGATGTTATACTTCTATCCCAGCACTTTCTACTATCC